CAAAAATTTGTTAAGAATGGCCTTGTTGTTCCTATATGGGAACAGACCAACTTATATTAAACTGTCACTGCATCCCGTTTTTTCCTTTACGTAAGAGTTGGTATGCAGCCCCCGACGGAAAAGTATTTTAACTATTTTGGAAGCATGAAAACTGTTATCCGAAACGGTTAATTTAAGATATATTCTAAGTGCCCAGTGAGCTTACTTAAATGAAGTTCATCACACAACTTATGTCTCATCTAGTCGGTTTGTTTCAGCAAGACCGAATTCAGTTTTCTGATTTAAAGTCTAACATTACGTCAGTATAACTAAATGCATACCAACATTGGGCCATCCTTAAACAAAATTGTTTGTTTTATTCAGTTTTCCAAATTCTTTTTTTTTTCTTCAGAAATAACAGGTGTCTTTATAAAAAAAACATTAACTTTCAGTGATGTTTTCTCTCCATTTTTTCATCAGCAGTAAAACAAAATATCAGTAGATTCCATTTTAAGTGGGTCGGTCTGGAAACAGCAAACAAAAATTTGTTAAGAATGGCCTTGTTGTTCCTATATGGGAACAGACCAACTTATATTAAACTGTCACTGCATCCCGTTTTTTCCTTTACGTAAGAGTTGGTATGCAGCCCCCGACGGAAAAGTATTTTAACTATTTTGGAAGCATGAAAACTGTTATCCGAAACGGTTAATTTAAGATATATTCTAAGTGCCCAGTGAGCTTACTTAAATGAAGTGTATGTCTCATCTAGTCGGTTTGTTTCAGCAAGACCGAATTCAGTTTTCTGATTTAAAGTCTAACATTACGTCAGTATAACTAAATGCATACCAACATTGGGCCATCCTTAAACAAACTTGTTTGTTTTATTCAGTTTTCCAAATTATTATTTTTTCTTCAGAAATAGCAGATTTCTTTACAAAAAAAACCCATTAACTTTCAGTGATGTTTTCTGTCCATTTTTTCATCAGAAATAAGACAACGTTTCAGTAGATTCCATTTTAAGTGGATCGGTCGGGAAACAGCAAACAAAAAATTGTTAAGAATGGCCTTGCTGTTCCTATATGGGAACAGACCAACTAAAATTAAACTGTCACTGCATCCCGTATTTTCATTTACGTAAGAGTTAGTTTGCACTATTCTTTACTAGATTATCACATCTATTTGTAGGGGAACTGGACTGAGTCGATCGTCGGCGACCACTAAATTTCTTTCGTCACAAAGGATGTCACAAGAACATAAGACATTCCGTAGGGCATTTTTTCTTTATCAAACTTAGTTCTTAGATCGCTAGAGTTCGTTGCAAACATGTTTTACTAAATAAGACACTTTATTTTGGTGTAATATTGTTTAACGTCCTAGCAACAGCTATGGTCATTTAAGGACGGCAAATAAGACAGCCACTGAAGAGTTATTCTGTTTGTCTTCGTTCATATTTTACAGGTGATATAAAATATAAATCTATCTAGTTATCGTGTATGGTTTCTTTTGTCTTACATTCCTGGTTATAACTATCACTCCAAGTTAACTAAACACCTTACATAGAGGTGGGTCTATGTATTATAGTATACCACTCAGTAAGGTAAGCAATATCGATATCTAATGTACTTTATAGTTTCTGAAATGCCTCACTATATTGTACTATAAAGTTTGTGAAATACTAGCACAGTAATGCACTATAAAGTTTATGGAATACAAGAACTGTCATGTGCTATAACGTTTGTGAAATACCAGCACTATAATGTGCTATAACGTTTGTGAAATACCCGCGCTGTAATGTGCTATAAAGTGTGTGAGATACCAGCACTGTAATGTATTATAAAGTGTGTGAGATACCAGCACTATAATGTGCTATAAAGTTTGTGAAATACGAGCACTGTAATGTGCTATAAAGTTTATGAAATAACCGCACTGTAATGTGCAATAAAGTTTGTGAAATACGAGCACTGTAATGTGCTATAAAGTTTGTGAAATACCAGCACAGTAATGTTCTATAAAGTTTGTAAAATACAAGCACTGTTATGTACTATAAAATTTGTGAAATACCAGCACTGTATTGCACTGTAATTTACTATAAAGGTTGTGAAAAACCAGGACTCTTATAAAGTACTTTAAAGTTTTTGAAGTACCAGCACTGATATGTACCATGAAATTTGTGATATGCCAGTACGTTTTATTACAGCACTGTAATGTTCCATGTAGTTTTTGATATCCATCTATATATCGTTTTACGAATTATAATATGTTCGTCTTTGAAAAGTGGTATACACTGACTTGCTGAAATGGGACGTGCTAGTTGACTCCCTTCTCGTTGAGATGTTTGTTTCCATATACTTGTCAGTAGGTGATTTTCTCTTTATTGTTTGTCAAGAGGTATGTCATTTTTTCAACATATCGGCCACCGACCTAATGTCAATGAGCATATTCACCATTTTCAATCAGATTGCGAAATATATGATTGGCTTTCATTAAAGCATTTCAATATAGAACGAAATTTTAGAACGGATATTTATAGTAATTCTTGATAATGTAAACTGAAGAACAAATGAAATGTCCAACTTTCATCTTCTGATTGAAAAGATGATTCCTGTTATTTCGTCAAATGCCACGTCAGCTACTATCTACAGTGAATCCCTGGCTGTGATATTGGTATTCAATAGACTGTTTTCAGGGCTAGGAAGATACAGATTTCATTGTAGATAGTTAAACACTGTATTTCGTCCATCTGTTTGCACAAAAAAACAATAAACCATCTATGCATTGAAAACCAAGAGAAAGATTTACATCATAGAAGAGCTTTATTAAGGTTCATCATCATCATCATCATCATCATCATATTAAACCGCAACACAGAAACACATAAAACATATTTGTTGTTTCCGCTATGCATTTTTTCGTCCAATGAGGGATCATCTGAGTAAAGTATCTAAGCATCCCTCTACAAGGGGTTATCTCCAGATGATTTTATTTTATAATAATATCATATAAATAATTTAAAGCTGATAAATCGTTTTATGATAATAATATTATTAACAAGTAACACTACAATCAATCTCTCTGAGAAGAAATATTATTGAATATTTCATAAATAATAAATATAAACACATCGGGACACAAGTCACAAGCAAACGAAAAATTCATCCAGGGAATTTTTCACCTGCAAGACTGTGTAAGGCATCTTTCTAGTCGTGGACGGATTACCTGATTGGGACCTTTTCCTGTAATATACTTGACAAATGTTTTTTATGTCGAAGAATGAAGATATGCTCATCCACACTTAGCTTGCTGAATACACACTGGATAAACACAACAGCAGCATCCGTATCTTTGGTCAGTTTGTACGTTTTGTGATTTTAACATTGTCTTTTACTATGTGGATTCAAAGCAAAACTGGCATCTTCTGAACACAATCCACATGGAGTCATTTGATTGGTCAATATCCGTCATCATCCCCCTCATTGGACGGTGTTACAGAACGGTATGAATTCATCACCGAAGATCCTCTTGTTCTAGGGGAAAGGTAACTGTACGAACTAGGGGACTACAAGAGACAGAAAACAGCCATAAGTATACAGAATATTCATTAATTATGTACTATAGATACAAATTGATAAATTAAGAAATAAAATATAAATTAAATTAATCGAATGAACTTTTTACAATACATTCGTATTAATGAAATGTAGAAAAATGTTTCAGATGTATGTTTATCAGCCTGGAGAATTTGAGAGAAAAGGTTAAGGCAATCTTTACAAATCTTATTTCAAATGTCACATATTTAAAGTTTGTGACACATTAAAGGACACGGGTTCCTGAAATAACAACATCGTTTAAAAACAATGGATGCAAAACCACTGAAACTCAAAACACGAGTTAGGATGAACATTAATGAACTTAATGTAATTGGGCTTTTCCAATTTCAATGGAGCTGTTTGTCATTTGAAGTGTATGTTATCATTCCTCCCATGAAATATATCGAGAAAAAGTATTGAAATACATCTTACTTTTGGTCTAGTTTTTTAATACTTTTAAGTTATCATTTTCAAGCGAGAAACTTCGGACATGAAGTAAGGTAATTCTGTAAACCATGCAATGATACAGGTAAAACCAAAAGAAGTCAGAAATGACTGACAAAGATTAACGCGGCGAATGACAGTAGATTAGATATGTGATGATGTATGTTAAGTGAGGATGGCAGTAGGTTAGGGTCATTTTAGAATGGGTTTTTTTCTGGAAATTAATGTTTGGTTATGATGATTATTCATAATATCAAACAAAAGTTTTCCGCTGTACATGCAGTGGGTTTGGGTTCTCTTTTTTCTTTTTGAGGAAATATTTTGTTTTTGTCATCAACATCATTTTGGAAAAGGATAAAACTTAAATTATTTTATATTTTTTCTATCTCGGGGAAGAGGAAATGAACACGAAAAATACAAAAGGATCACGAGAAAAAAAACAAATACAGATAGAGGGATCTTCACTCGACCCATGCCGACTGACTTACTGATTGTGTTTTACTAATATCTGTTGTAAACTTCGTTAGATGTTTACTGAAAAACAACAGCAATAAAATATAGCCAACAGACATCAACAGCGCAATAGCAATGGAGGGCTGAACGTTCACACGGGCGCTTGTAATAACTTACGGTATTTATTCAACATGATGATGGACTGCCTGTAAGATTTGCAGGGAAGGGAAAACATTAATGTCTAAACTAAAAACTTTAGTATCAATTCGCACTAACGTCATTATAAGTAACTAGGATTCAAACGTGAGTAAGTAGTTGAAGTAAGTCATACACTACGGAGATCTACAAACAAAATATCTCCAAATCGTCTACTGCAAGGGAACCGGAACCACATCCTCTCTAGCTATTCCTAACTAATAACTGTCACACGTCTGGTTTACCTCCTATTTGTATTGTGGTAATGTAACTATTTTGCAGATGACGATTCTCTCTGAGTACTAATTCCTCGACCAACATTTGGACTCAGTAATCCCGGCTGTGATAAATATACAGAAATCTAGTAATATACTGAAAAACGTGCGTTCTTCATCAAAACAAACCTTTTTTTTTTAATATATCGATTTGTTCGATTATCTTACAAAAAAATGTTTGTAAACGTTTCAATAGATAAAAAACATAGAAGATTTTTTACATATACTCATTACATGTATCAAATCCAATATCAATATTAACTTAATTTTAACAAATACTTACGTTAGCAGCGCTAACGGATACGCTGGATCGCTGGACAGATACGGAGCTACGGCTCTTAGCGCGGAACTTCTGGAGGGTAGAGTCGGCGGTGTCAGCGCGTTCTTCAGCCTCCTCTAGCTCATGCTGGGCTTTGCGGTATTTGGCCAAGTTGATGGCGGCGATTTCTTCCTGTAAAAGACAAAAGAGAAAAATGAAAGTTTCATGAAGTTCTTTTAACTATTGATTTTATATTATAAGATACACATCGCATCGGTCTGAATGATACCTGGCAATCGATACAGCAAAACATATTTTAAAAAGGAAATAAAATACTTACTGCTTCCTCGACCTGGCGCTTGAATGTCTTGATCTTAGCGTTGAGTTTGTCAATGAGCTCCTGGAGACGTTCCTGGTTCTTCCTGTCCTCATCAGCCTGGAAGGCCAATTCTTTGAGACGGCGGTCGGCCTTGCGCATGTTCTTCTGGGTCTCAGCGTGGCGGCGTTGTTCGTTGTCAAGTTCAGCCTCAAGCTCATGTACTCTGGATTCCAGTTTCTGGATCATCTTCTTACCTCCCTTGAGTGAGGAAGCCTCAGCTTCATCCAAACGAATCTGGAATTCTTTGACCTGGCTCTCCAAGTTCTTGCGTCCTTTTTCCACCTGGCTGCTGTGATCTTGTTCGCCGCGAAGCTCATCAGCAAGACGAGCGGCATCAGCCATAGCCTTCTTGCATCTCTCATCAGCACCCTTCAACTCGCCGTGCATCTCATCGAGGTCGGTCTGCATGGCATTGATATCACCCTCAAGTTTTCTCTTCTGGCCCTGGACAGATGAAACTTGAGATGTGAGTTCATTGACACGGTCGTTGGCATCAGCAAGCTCATTGTCAGATCCCTTGCGGGCCCTCTCGGCCTGTTCCAAGGCAGATCTAAGCTCCTCGACCTCACCAGACATAAGAGTGCATCTTCTCTCAGCCATGGTGTATGACTCACGAGCCTCATCACGCTGTCTCTGTTCTTCCTCAATGGATGTCTGCATCTCCTATAAATGTAAAATGTTTTGATAAGGAAATATTGTCATTCAATAACAATCAATTTAAATTTCTGAAATGGTTTTGCATCGAAGAATTGTTAATAAAAAGATTCTATTGAAAAATATAACTTCACCACATTATTTATGAAGCGGGACATTTGATGTTATACCAGAATGATATATTTACCCTGATCTGTTGCTGGTATCTCTTGACAGTCTTCTCCATCTCGGCCTTGCCCCTGTTGGAAGCATCGAGAGCAACCTCGAGCTCATTGATGTCCTGTTCAAGCTTCTTCTTGATCCTCATGGCATCAGATTTACCCTTGGCCTCAGCCTCCAAACTGGCTTGCATGGATTCAAGGGCACGTTGGTGGTTGCGACTGCAAAGCAAATATATTGAATAAGAACTAGTTCTAATTCTTTGTCATGAATTTTCATATTACTCTTTTATTTTATTATACCTAAGACGAAAAAAAAAAGGATATCAAAACATCATGTACAATGTTATTTCGTTTACCGGGTGTTGTCGAATTCCTCTTCCTTCTCCTGGATACGTTTGTCGATCTCATTACGGACGGTGGCGATTTCAAGCTGTGCACGCATGACCTTGGCTTCCTCCTGTTCAAGAGCACCCTCAGCCTCTTCAAGAGCGGCCTGGAGTTCCTCTTTTTCCATCTCGAGCCTCCTACGGGCTTTGTCAAGCTCGTGTGTGGATCGGCCTCCCTCGGAGAGCTGATCGGTAAGGTCGTGGATTTCATCTACAAAACAATATGCGTATTAAAATCTAGAAATGATTCCATGTTACAATATGTTATTGTAAATTGCAGTTTGAATACAACTATTAACTTATATTTCAAATGTATTCTACGTATTGGTACAAACGTTAACTACAGTACAGAATAGGGTTATGCTGTTTTATCCTCACCAGCCAAGTTCTTGTTCTCCCTCCTGAGTGCGCCAATGCTGTCCTGGTATTCCTCGATGCTAGCCTTGATCCTGTACAACTCGGCTGAGTAGCCGCGAGATTCCTTCTGGGCGTTCTCGAGCTCGGACTGCAGGCTGTTGACCTTGGCCTGCCATTCAGCGGTGGTCTTATCGAATGCACGCTGTTTCTTTTCCATCTGGTTGGCGTTGGCATTGGCCTTTAAAAATAAGACATTGTCTAGTATAGAATTATTTCAATATTGTAGTGAGAAGGTTACTCAGTACACAATAAAACAGGTAATCGAAAGTAAATTTGAAGACTACTATTATGTATACTATTGTTAAGAACACTTACCCTGTCGACTTCAATGGAGAGATCTTCCAATTCCTGTTGCATACGAGACTTGGCCTTGTCCAAGGCGCTGCATTTGGCGTTGGCAGCCTCCATATTCTGTTCAGCCTCATTGAGCTTAGACAGAAGCTTGCGCCTGTAATAAATAGTTACAAAATTGTTAAGTTTTGCACTATACAATATTTTCTGACACTTGAGCCATTTACTAAATCAATGCTTAATTTGATTGCAAATTCAGATTATATTTATAATCAAACTTACACGCAAGTTCATCATATTGTTATTAGATTTGTTAATCACAACTTGATATTTTGATAACTCAAATATGTAAAACCTTTGTTATGAGTACACTTATTTATTGTGTAAAACTTACTTCTGGTCCTCGAGCTCCTCAGTGCGGTTAGCACCCTCGCTCTCGAATTTGGACCTCCATTGCTGGATCTCGTTGTTGGCCTTTGAAAGCTGGCGCTGGACATCAGATTTGGATTCCTGTTCTTCCTCAAGCTGTTCACGGAGAGCATCCATATCGGCGTGCATGTTGCGGAGTTCGTTCTGGAGCTTGGATCGGGCCTAAACGACAAAAAGCACATTGGTTTGGATTACAAATTACAGAACACATACTTGTCAGAAATTTGTAATTACTATTGGTTTATCTTCATAGGTGGTGTATGAGAGAAACACAAAGTACATACCCTGGTTTCGTCCTCAAGACTGCGACGGGCGTCCTCAAGCTGAGAGCCGAGCTGAGACTTTTCCTTAGAAAGTACACTGACACGGTGTTCGGCGTCCTCGAGCTGTCTGCTGAGATCAGAGTTCTCAGCCTGGAGACGACTCTTCTGGCTCTGGAGCTCGTTGATGGACCTCTGGCTGTCCTCGAGTCTGGCGTTGAAATCGGCAACCTGGGATTCAAACTGCTTCATGACCTTCTCGGAGCATCCCTGTAATACAAGTCAACGGTGGAAATTGAGAAGGTGCAATATATATGTATATATATATATATTATTTAACTAGATTTAATTTGTCAGCACGGTAAAAATGAACTGTTGAGTTATTACAGCCGTACAATGTATGGATGGTTAGTTAACGTTTGATAACAAATGATTAAGACGTTACCTCATGTATGGAATGGCTCTTTAATCTTGAATTATTTGACATTAATAAATGAAAAGGTACTTTAATATAATGCCGAGCTATATTGTATAACAAGTTATTATCACTTAAACATCGTGGTCATATAATTGGTTTTATTCAATAGCATCAGTAACAGATGTTTTCCGATTGGTTAGCAAACAATCTTTTACAGTGAAAAGCATTAGTATTTGAAATATGGATCTGTTAGTAAAATATTGATGTGAATAATCATGCCTTTGTTATTGATAAAATAAGTTATATTTTTGTTTGATACAATATACAAATGTTATCTGTTTTTTGAACAAAGTGTATTATTGATACAAATATATAAAACAAATAAAGAAAATATAATGAGTTAAATGTGCATTAGAATTTAAGCAGATAGAGGTAAATATATTACGTTTTTAATTTCAAATGGTGAATCTGTTATTTTATTAGCATTCACTCGTTATGAGTTTGTTCTTCTTCACTTCAGAGTGTTAACTTCCTGTTAAATAGCACATCCTGTTTATGTTAAAATATCTCACTGTTTTACCCTAGCCCTTTCGGCCTGTTCCAAACACATAAGCAAGTCCTCACATTCTACCATCAAGTCTCGTTTGTCCTTTTCAGATCTGGTTAATGTGATTAAAACGTTACATGCAAGTAATTAAAAGAATAGTGTTTGTTTTCTTTCTTCACTCATGCATTTCATCCAAAAATTTGGAAACATGTATTTCGAATAATAGCTAGTCTGCGGTCTCCAAACACGTGGCAGTGATTTTTGTTCAACATGTAATGCCTTTCAATAATATGAAGTACCTGGGCAAATAATATATAGTTCTTTTAGGAATAAGCTGGATTTCATGCAGCTACTATGTAATTTTTTATGGCACATGCATATTTCAGAATGACTCCTCGTCTACCTTATTCTTAGAAATGTGTTGGATTTGAGCTTGTAAATCCTCATTTTCGCTTCTCAGCTGTTGCTTTTCTTTCTCAGACCTGTAAAGGGTTTAACGGGACAATGCATAATATAACACGGGAAGGTATACAACATTAGAGTGTAGATTATCTGCATATCAATGCTCTCTGAGGGTGGAATATCTCCTTTCGGAAAGTCTCTGAGGATAGGAGTTCATCATGTACACAAACGGAGTAAAGGAAGGACAAACTATGGATATATATAATCTTCTGATAGGACAAGTCCTGTTCGATACATGCTCGGTAAGGACAACGTGGTTGGAAGGAGTCGAAGAGGACATGCGCCGAGCGCATTTTGTGTCCTCGTGAAATGCTTGGTCATAACCAGGCATGGTACCTTGTTTTTCGAGTTGTGAATCAACTGAGTCTCGAGGTCATCCATTTCGCGCTTAATATCTTTCTTGTCCTTCTCGAGCCTGGAAGTTTTTTATGATTATATTTATTTTAAATATCTTAACACTTGATATTAATTGCATTACAGTAAGTTTTAATTCTTATACACAGGTTTTTATCAGTTATGCCTATAAACCGTCACATAATATTTAAAATACGACATGTGTCGACATCAATTTCAATCTTTATAATATTATGATTTTGATTCTTTGAGTTATTGAAATTTTTCACTGATAAAATACATTTTTGAACAAATGATTCACAATTAGTTCAGATGACTTACTTGGACTTGACCTTCTGGAGTTGATCAACCTGGTCGGCCATCTCGTTGGCGGCATCCTGGTGCTTCTTGCGGAGGGCAGAGATTTGAGCCTCATGCTGGAGAGAAGCTTCCTCAAGATCACGACGGATCTTAAGAAGTTCAGCCTCCCTCTTTTTGTTGAGGTCAATCTGTTGATGAGTTAATTTTAAAAAAAATAATATATTATGACAACCAGAGAAGACGAAAACAGATAAACAGTTGGTTAAACATAATTAAATAGTCTATTTGTAATCGATTTATTCACATTATCCAGTTCTTAGAATATTGTTTTTTATACAATAAACTTTCATTCAAATGTTGTTTTTATATCATAAAAATGGATGCTTACCTGGGCAGATGTGGCACCGCCAGCCTCATCAAGACGCTCGCCGAGCTCTTCCAACTCACGGTTAAGTTCAGCGCGCTGCTTCTCAACCTGTTAATTCACAACAGGATGTTTAAAACATATGTATTTATATGAGTGTTTCCTTTAGCCATTTCAATCATACTGAAAGTACTAAGTACTTTTATTTGGTAGTAGTCAAAAGATTCTCTGAAACATTATGTTGGTTAATGAATGGCTGCGGTACGGCAAATTCAGTCTAGTGTTTCTACGTAGAATTACCCTTTTAGCATCTAGGCAGGAGATAAAGATAAGAATATCCCATCAAAGTAACATAAGATCCCTAAACACCGTATCGTTGCAAACAGCTGCTGCCAACTTATCTACAACATATTCTATATATAGATACCAAGTTATGCCAAGTACGTAAGACCTATTTTACAGAATGTTTCGTTCTAAACCATTATATCAATTATAGTAAATTAAAAATTCTACAAACAAGTGTCTCACCTTAGCCCTGGCGTTCCTTTCGGCTTCAAGTTCTTCCTCTAACTCCTCGATTCTGGCCTGAAATGTTGCAACAGCCATGATTGTAAGAATGTCCAAGTATTTCAATACGAAAACAGGTTCCCTTATTTACACCTAGGTGACTACAGAACTTCAGGACAACAGGAAAGATAACATGGGGGAACAACAACAGAGGAAAACGAACACTACTTGAACGCGGAAGAGTTGAGATAGCTATGACGGGAACTGGCAGATCATCGCCTCTTAAATCTCTGATTGGTCGGTATGTAAAGAGCACCTTAGTGAGTGCATACTTCCGCTATGAGTCAGACAGAGTGAAGCACGTCTGAACATCGCTGTGAAAATCATATGACGCATTGCACACAGACAGATAACGCGTTGCTCTCACAGACTTCTACCACAGAAGATGAAACTGTTTAAATTTTGGTTTACATTGGTTTTACAGACACCTTATCAGACTGCCGTGCTGGATTGAATTACTTGGGTCTGGTGTTCTGTGGAACATACTAGGGACGGTATAAATAGATAGATAAACCAGATGCCTTAGAAAAACTAGAGGGCATTCAGTTGACTAATACATACAATGAAAGCGAATTCCATATGCAGGCATTTTATTATGTAGGTTAGAGCATAGCACATTACAGCTTCAAGTTATCATGTGAATAAGGCGCTAAACGTGTTGCAAACATTTTTCGTTAAATACGTCATTTACAAAATTGAAAGCAAAATAAAAACAAAAAAAATAATCGAAAAAAACCCGGCTAAATATGTGTATAGTTAAGGCATTATAGTTAAGGCATTATACATATAGAAGTACATTTAATTTACCTTTACGACATTCCATTTACGTATTATCACATCCTGAGCATAGAGTAAGCGATGGCATTGCTATCAATGTATCTAAGTGGTTGCAGTTGCACCAGTAGCATAGTGAGCGAAAAGCCAACCGTAACACATAGAGCAAATACGTTAAGCAATATATCGCAGATACAGGAGCCATAATTGGAAAATGTTGATACTGTACTTCGAGAAGACCCTTTAGGCCCGGAGAGGTATGACCTAGATCCGATGCCTCCCGTATAACTCGCTTACTCCTAGCACTTATTCTTGTTGCTCTCGGTTCATATTGATAGGCACGAGAAAACAAAACTGGATGTGTGGCAATGCTTTCTATAACAGCAGGGCTAACTCCTCTGTAAGTCCTACTGAAATCTCCTAAGTAATCACTATAACCAGATGAGGATTTAGTCGATGTAGTAGTTGTTGATTTCTTTGTTGTTGTTTTCTTGTTTTCAGACGGAGCAGTTTCTGATCTAGGAACAGGGTTTGATGATGCTTTAACCTGTGATTTCACTTCAGTAACTGTAGCCGATTGCGGTGATGGGGTGTCTAGTGATGGAGGTTGGGGGCTCTCAGCCTTACCCGTCTCAACTAGACTCGAAAATTCTATTTTAAGTTGTTCCCCTTCCTGAGACATATTGCTCAATTAGTTAGAAGAAAAGTCAAGCGAAATAAATCCGGAAGGTCTAATCTCACTTCAAGTATCACAAAGATCCAGAGACAAACAATGCCTATGTCCAATAGCCAAGACCTCTTAACTCCCAGATGAAAGTCAAAGTGAAAACAGCCAAGTCTTGTTTACGATCCCGTGTAGAAGATCAGATAGTAGCCCAAGTTCCTTGACATTGAAAGCACACTTCCTGTATAAACACGAAACACCCCAACAACCTCCAACAGACTATGCCCTACGTGTGGATGGAAGCTAAGAAACGACACGACTGAAAGATGAAACACACCGTCGGCCTTTAAAGGACGATGCTCATCAACCAGGTATGTGCTGAGGTGGTAAGATCTATTCTGTCTCCATGACTACCGGCTGAGAAGCTACCTAGTGGTGTCTACAACACCTAACGAATGAGGATATACACAACCAGTCATCTCATGTGTTACCGCTGCGAAATCGTATATGTGAACAGTAGTTCAACTCCTATTGTCTTATTTAGATAGAGGCCAGGGCGAGGGCAGGCTGAGATTATATCGTGATAAAATACCGTATGTTTAGATCAGCTATGATGTAGATAGACAGAAGACACAGTACAGACTGTTGGAATGTGCATTAAGTTGCTTATCTCTTGCGCTAAGAATATTTCTATACAATACACCCATGCACTGCTATCCCGTTACACACAGAGCCGTGATTGGTCGGTTAGAAGTGCCTTCCCTTTTATAGCAAATGAACACAAGCTCTTCGCTCTGCCCTCTTCCGCATTCCACAAATTTCAATTACCACGATGTGCAATCTTTATATTATGATAATTACAACTCTAGGAATTCCGCATGATTTCATAAACCTAACGAAGAACAACGTACATGTCTTAGAAAAAAAATGCATTGAGTAGTTAACTTACAGACTTAACTAAATTCAAGTCAGACAGACAAAAGACGTTCGTAAATAAGATGCTATCAATCAACCGAGTAAGGAAAAGACGTTTTCTTGCATGTCTCGAGAAAATGGAATGAAACATAACTTACCTGGAGTTCCTTGATCTTTCTCTGGAGTTGGGCGACAAGGTTCTGTTCGTCCTCGAGCTTGGAGCTCAATGTGCTGATCTCAGTTTCCTTCCTATTAACAAATACAGGAATACGTGGTCAGCGATTCATTGAATTAAACATTATGTAGTAGAAAATAGTCGTTTAACTGATTGATCTCTATTAAGCTGACAAATGCTAAGTAAGTATATTAAGGCATCGACTGCTTACCTCCTTACGTTCTCCTCAAGCTCCCTCTTGACACGTTCAAGATCCTCAACTGTCTCCTGGGTAGACTTAAGGTCCTGCTCAACCTTACGCTTGGCCTTCTCAACATCACCACGGACCTTTTTCTCGCGCTCAAGGTTATCCTCGAGCTGTAAACCAATTTGATATCACTTTACGATTCACTTCAAAGCATAATTTACAAAAGTAAGGCTTGCAAACACCATGTATCACCTTATCACATTTCAAACCAAATCAATCTATTTATCTTGAACTTCAAAATCAGTTTACAATTTATAGTATTATTGATTTTACATAAATTTGGACTATTCACCTCATCAAGGGTCTGTTCAAGTTTGGCCTTCAATTTGTTTAGGTGATTGCACTTGTCCTCCTCAGCCTGGAGAGCATCGCCCGTCTTCTTGTTGGCCTCTTCAAGAGCTTTCCTTTCCTTGTTGAGTTTGCCGATCTGTTCATCTTGCTGGGCCATCTCTCCCTGAAGGGTGGATATTTGATTGTCCTTGTGGGCTTTGTCCTGCTCGGCCTTCTGGAGGGTGTTCTCAAGATCTCCAATATCCTTTTTAAGATTTTGGTTGTCTTGTTCCATTTTCTTCTTGATGCCCTCAAGATCAGCAGCGGCATCTTCTTCGTCCAAGAGACGTTCCTCGAGTTCCTTGAGCTGAGCCTCGAAGTCAGCTTTCTGCATGATAAGTTTCTCAACCTGGTCCTCCTTATCGCCCATGGAGTCCTCAATGGTCTGAAGCTGAAGGAAGAGGTCGTTCTTCTGTTCCAAAAGGGTAACATTTTGCTCCTCAAGTTCCTTCTTGATGCGTTCGCTCTTGGCAAGATCTTCCTTAACTTTGTCCATCTGTTTCAATTGTTCCTTCATCTCGTCCTCTTGACGGGCGATGCTGAGAAGAGGCTTGACCTTGGCGTAAAGTTTCCACCATTGCCAGTTACGGAGAACCAACCATTTCCTGATGTTACGCTGGATCACGGAGAGACCAATTCTACAATGAAAACATATCTTGTCAAGTGACAATGACGATAACATCGTACTTGGAAATAGTTTACCAATAACACATTTCAGATGGTGTTCTATTTAATTGATTTATCAATACTGCGTGTAATCATCTTATCAATGAAATGCGTAGGAAAACAAATGTAAATGATCACACTATTTCGTACCTCTGGTCCTGGAGCTTTTTGTAAGCCTTACGGATGAGGTAACCACGGATGTGGGCCTGGAACATGGAGATGATCTTTGACAAACGTTCGTCACGCATCTCCTCAAGGTTACCGAGGACACCGGCCTTGAAGAACACCTTGGTGGTACCAAGACGGTACTCGGCGGGATCCATCTGAAGACCGGTAAGGATCTTTTCTGACACGGTCTTGCCATCAACGAATCCTTGAGGGATAGCATTGGGGGCCAGGATACTGTATCTGTTATAGAAGAACGTGACACAATATTGCGTTAGCATTGTGACAGGGGAAAATACATTCAAATTGTAGTTTATATAAAGATTAAGTTACACTTCATTGATGTTTCCTTTTTCTTTCATTGGTTATTTGTTCATAGCTTTGACGTTAAGTAATCCTCAGCTATTGTCTATTTACCTCTGTTTGAACTCAGAATAGATCAATCTGCTGGGGAATCCCTTCCTACAGATACGGATTCCTTCAAGTACACCATTACATTGGAGCTGGTGAAGTACGAGCTCAGCATCAATAAGACCTATGGGAGGGAAACATATTGTCAATACAAACGCCCTTTTCTTCATCATAGCTACATGATGGTCTCACGACGTAATATATATCACGTATATTTCCGTAAACATTCGAAACATTACCAGATATTTTGTAAATACTTATTCATTCAACAATTTTATCGCTTACATTTGATCTGCAATAAATATACACATCTGTCAATTAGAACAAAAATACACTTTTTCAAACTATGATTCATGTTAAATGGTTCAAAGATCTGTTATAAAAAGTTCAGATATGACATACTTTGAAAAGCTGGAAAAAAACACAAATGAAAAACTGGTTAGCAAAACACAGAATTGGTGAGAGTGGAGAAGGTGTGTTTGTAACATAAATCAAAGTTTGAAATATCCAGGATCTTCTTTCCTTCCGTGTTCATTACCTACCGTCAAAGAACACCAGATACAAGCTCACCTGGTTCCTTTTCTAAGTTCGGGATAATACAGCGTACAAAGTGAGGATTGGTTCTACGCAGATTGCACATCAATTTGTTTAGACTTTCCTAAGGAAAAAGGATGCAAGGATCATCAAACACATAGGGAAGGTGTGATAGTGGGTTTAAAGAACTTCTCATATTCTTTGTCATGTCAGCTTTGAAAGGTGAGTAGGAGTTGGTTCGAATTCTATCAAGGTTTTTTAAAGAAAATATATTTTGATAAAAAAATTATTTGAAGAAAAATAAACAAATGATGACAAAGGATAAAAGAAGTTCTATCAAACAAAACAGACATAAATTAGTTGCTAATATGTTCGTCAATGGTATATTAGGTGTTGGTAGGATATGGGATCGGGTCTTTGAAGGATTGGAACAGATGTCGGGGTTACCTGTACTAACACACCGTGCGAAGACTTATGACGTCATTCACGGGATTTATGACGTCATTATTTACCTGGCTGTTTCAATTCGTTGGGAATGATGCAACGCACGAAGTGAGGGTGGGTGCTGTACAAGTTTTTCATAAGCTTGTTCAGAGACTCCTAAAAGCAAAAATAGTTGACATAGCAACAATGAGTATATACATGAACTACAAAAGCAAACCGCATGTAAATGACGAATTAATGATGAATTGAGTATACACAGGAATGGACAAAATGAATAGAATAAGAAACTAAAAAGGTTAATGGCATGCATTAATAACAAGGTAGAGTGTATATATATGAGAGGATAGACAGATGAGCTGTGTAGTAATTTAAATGTTCATGCCATGGATATATGTTCTTTATTAATTAAATTAGTTTTCAACTCAAACAAGCTTGAATTCTATTGCGCATTCGCTTTTCTTCTAAGATTTAGTATAATGAAATATGTTATATGTTAGTATCAGAAATTATTAATAGGCAGGTAGGGAAGGATTGTCCTTTGGAATAGTATATTAGGTGAGGGATGGGTATGATGAGGAAGGGTGGGTGGAGAAATCCCATGTAAGGGCACACGTGTGGTGTAAAGTAAAAGAACAGTGATGAGATCTGAATTGCAATACTGTTATGTATTTAAATCAAAAACATTTTTATTACATATTAGGTCACAATTAGATTACTGCTGCAGAACAGCGATGAGAAGAAAGCAACTATGATGCGAAGAAAGAAAAATATGTTAAATATCTTTCAGAATAACTAAATAGACTTTCAACGTTTCGTATTCATCTGCTTAAATATGATACATGACTGCAGTTACAAAATATACAAAAAACATGTGAGTAAAAGAAAGCATAGAGCGTACCCTGTGGACAGCAGAGATAGTCTGGAAAGCAGCAGACTTGCCCCTCTTCTTCTTACCACCGCCAGCACCTTCTGCAAATGTTAAAGGTTGTTTTTCCTTAAGGATAATTATATTTCAACTACTATTTTTATAAATATATAATCTAATCAGCAAAACGACCAAATTGAGGCTGTTGTGGGTTTTTATTTTTCAATTATCCGCTGGGAACGGCTCATGATGTCCAATAATGATACTTGGATTCAGTATTGATGAATACAAACACAATACAAAACGAAGTGACGAGCATTGCTTACCTTCAGGAGCAGCAGCCTTAAAGAGCTCGGCCACAAGAGGCTCCTTGGATGCACCCAAGAGGGTGACAACGTTCTCGTTGATGGGATCCTTGTTTTTGTCCAACCATCCAGTGATGCTGTATGGCACGTTTCCGGCATAATGGTGGAGCTCAAAGTGAGCCATGCCCTGGTTTGGCCTAGTAGGCTTGCCGGGCTTGGTGAACATGCGGTTCTTGCCCATGTGGTTCGAGTACAACTTATCCTGGAGGGATTTGTCGTCAGCTTTGGGGAACATGCACTCTTCCTCAAGGATGGACAAGATGCCCATAGGCTAAAAAATATCAAGATCACCAATCACACACAATTAACCGACATGATATACCAACATACCTGATAACAAAGTGTTTGCATATGGCCAAAGATGAAAGTCACTGATTAAAAACTATGTCAAGCTTGTTTCATATGATTGACAATAATAAATTTGAATTTGGAATCATGCATTTACTGTGTATTTTACAAAGAAATATTACATTGACATTGATATTCTGGATTGTTCTTGCTATATATTGGTAATAATTAATATAATTAGCTAATAAGCTAGTCTTACCTTCTCGATCAAGTCGATACACGCCTGCAGATCCATACCAAAATCAATAAACTCCCAGACAATTCCTTCCTTCTTGTACTCTTCCTGTTCAAGGATGAACATGTGGTGGTTGAAGAACTGTTGCAGTCTCTCGTTGGTGTAGTTGATGCACAACTGCTCGAAGCTGTTGAAGTCGAAGATTTCGAAACCAGCGATATCAAGTACACCGATGTAGTAGTTCCTCTTGGCCTTGGTGTCAAGAGTTTTGTTGACTCTCTTTACCAACCAGTTGAACATACGATCGTACAGGGACTTGGCCAAAGCACCAACGGAGTTGAGGACCTTAAATAGCGAAATTAATAAATGGTATATGTTTAACATAAAAAGTCAACAATAAATAATAAGCGTTATATCACAGAAAAACGACCAAATAGTGATCAAGGTTCCACGCATTAGCTTTATTTAATACTTTTTCAGTAATACTTAAAAATCCCAGCTCACCTGGTTCAGAGTCTGACCCTTGGTGACCATTTCTGTGCCGACCTTTACTTTAGGTTTCAACAAAGCTTTCAAGAGATCGCCGGCGTTGATACCGCAAAGGAAGGCAACTTTCTCGGCCTCTGTCAAAGAAAATCACAAAAAAATGTAAAACAAATCCCAAACTCGTATCAAATATACACTTTAATGTCAATTGTGTGTTTATTCTACATATCTTTTAGTATTACTTCCTGTTAGAAATAACACGTGAATTATTAATATAATTATTGAGAAAAAATCATTTGTATATCATAATAATGTAATGTTCACGAGATATCAGTCAGTTATATATCTGATTCAAATGTTTACTTACCAGCAGTTCCATCAGATTCAGCCTGTTCCTCACGGGGCCTCTGTTTAAACTTCATTTCACCCATGTGCAAGATGGATGCTGTGCACTTATACATAGAATGCTTCTCTTCCTTTGTGAAGCCGAGAATGTCGAAAGCTTCCTGCAAGGTAGTAAATATATATGTAAAAATATGTACATATATTGCATGGCTTTAATAAATGACATCTCCATTCAGTTCTTAACGCATTGGTTAGTTTCACGAGGAAATGTTTTGGTAGTTTTCCAAATTAAGGTGCGTATCATATCAATATATACTTACATCACAAAGTTTGAGCTCCTCTACGTCATCAATACTATCAACAGTCAAACAACCCTGGTTGATGAAGGAATAGAGACCGGAATCGGGGGTGAGCAGCATTATTTCTGCAAAACATATTACATGTCAGTTACCGATGGCGGTGAATCAAATAGTGGTATGTTCTGTCGAGACTGTTTTTATTCGACTTAATTTGTCACATGTTTTAGAAACAAAATGACAAAGTTTCGATTACGATATTGTAATAATGTTCGTATACCTACCATTGATCTCGGGAATGGCGTTTGAGCACAATTGGTAGAAAATGTGGTAGTTCCTCTCAGCAGACTGCTGGTATGTTACTCTGGACTTCTCAAGCAAGTCTAAAAGTATTGAAGTTAAACGAAAAGATTAATCAACAGAGGCCTTCTTTAAGAAAATAATACTGGGTATATATTGGTATGAGCAAACCAATGTTAATAGATCTACATTGTATAGTAAGTATTAAAAAATATATCTTTTTGTGACCAATATATTATTTATATTCCTTATTGCATACGTTAGTTAACCAAAAAAATATAACATTTTGTAAACTGTCTTAAATTGCTTACATGTCTCGATATCAGCTCCGGCGATTTTGCCAGTGGGGCCGAAGTGAATACGGATAAATTTACCCTAGAGGAGAGAAACAATAAAAGGTTCAATATTTCATATGACGTTATAGACACAATATCACAGTGTAATTCATCCACATTTCTTGACTTCAATCAAATACACTCGTCTTACTGTATATTCATAGAAACTGCGATTTCACTTCCATCCAAATTTACATCACATTTTACAAACACAATATATATATAAAAATATGCAGTATACATATAGATTTATATTATTAACATGAGTTACTCTTCAGTATTGTAAAGTAACACACTTATAGGTGAGCTCAATCGATTCTGTAATTCGAAAATGTATGTGAACACTTGGGATTGGATGTGCGTCCCATACCAGTGGTCTTAAAGAAGGTCACAGCTATATAGATATATAGCAAATAATATCTTACTTTAAATGAACGGTTTTAACCACTGATATGAGACGCAGAGGAACATGCAGACTTGAGATCACACTATAATAACCTGAATGCTAATTTCAAAATAAATATTATTGATTACGTTAAATATTTGTTCGAATTAATTAGAATTTTTTATTTCTATTTAAATCTATCCAAAATTATTATTTGAATGTTCTCTTGAAACAGTAATCGCTAAACCAGGCGTTTATGTCAATATCACTGTACTTACGAATCTAGAGGAGTTGTTATTTCTTACAGTCTTGGCATTACCAAAAGCCTCCAGTACTGGATTAGCTTCAATGATTTGATCCTCGAGGTTACTCTAAAGTCCAAAGGTTGGTTGGAAGGAACGTGAACAGAGGAGGAAGGATGAGTGAAACATCAACACAGAGGAATCTTAACTAAGGTTAGAGACCTAAGTCCACTAACCTACGGTGATTCTAAATGTTTGTTTCAGCAATTTTAATTGCTAAAACATACAGGGGTTAAATGAGCTGGCAAAATGACCAGTGGAATACACGAAAGAGTTAAGGCAAATCATTCACAACAAAAATGATCGTTGCAATAATAGAATTTGTTTTTATATATGTTAATAACATATTTTCCTCCACTGTATAACGGTGATCTAGCCAGCCCATTTCAAACAGGGTGATTTTAACATAAGATAAGTGAGTTAGATATGAGACAGATATACCAAAATACGATATATTTGTCCTCGGCTATCGGGTTGTAAAGGATGAGGGAAGGGGCCGGGAGTTCGATGGCAGTAGAGTTCAGGATCTTGAAAGGAGAAGAGTCTGTGAGATCAAACAGGTGGTATTCGTTCAACCGCAACGGGGTCCACAGGGATGCTTCTTCTGCTGCTGATGGTAATACTTACGAATCGAGATGAATTGTTATTACGGGTGGTCTTGGCGTTACCATAAGCCTCTAGCACAGGGTTAGCCTGGATAATCTGGTCTTCAAGACTTCCCTCCTATATGGTTTGGAAATTGTTTTGGGAGGACATGGAGGAGTGGATTTTTTTTTGTAAAGGGAGGGAGAAAAGAAAATAACAAATATTGTTTTAAATTTATTCATTAATTGACATCTGTTCAATTATTTTCGGAAACAAATGGATAGTTTTGATAACTTAATTTACTGTCAAAGTACATATATGCAGTAAAGCTCATCGCGAAAATTACAAGCACAAAATAGTTATCACAATGTAAACATTATATAGAGCATAAGTACCAGTGATGCATTATATATTATATTAGATCATAACTAAATATATAGCATATATATGTGAAACATATCAAAGGTATATGTTATGGTCATAATAATTCAATAGATATTTAACATGTGCACTGAAAATGAAACTGATTAGGACAAAATTAGAATCAAACGTTGGTTGGTTTTAGGAGTTAGTGGAGAGTTTGAATTGTTTGGGTATGGAAAGGCTCTCCAGGTTGTGAGGATTTCACTCGGTGTCACACGGAGTCTTCAGGTACCAGTGGCGTACCAAGGTTTATCTTTTGTGTGAGCATGACCTTCATTTGCTTTCAACAGTGAAGAAGCTTGTATAGGTATTGGTTCACTCAAATTTAAAATGTGTTGACTGATATTCAACTTATTTTAGCTTCACACCATGCTTGGAGAAGGAATATTAGTGTTCAAAAAACATTGTTTTCTCTTCGTTACAAGGAAGGTATGTTTAGGAGGGTTTGGATGAGAGTACTATCTATTAACTATAGAAAAAAATATAGGTAAGGTGGTAATAATACGTGTAAAGAGGATTGTTTTGTGATTTGAGGGACAAGCAACTTCACTGTCGTTATTATGATTTATATATAAAATCAAGAAATATTCTATAATATTTAAAAAAGATATTACCATTGATTTGCTTAAGAATGGCAGATAATACTTGCCAAGTTTTACTTTTCAATTTCAATATTTCATGATCACCAAGGAATGCAGCAAACAAATAGGCAAAGGTGTTGGTTCCCTTGTTTGTTTGGAATTGCTCCGGTCATGCGCACTCAATTAAGATAACCTAAACTACCTTCTTATCAGCTTCCTCTTCGTCGGTCTTCTTTTTAGTGGCACATGCTACTTTAGCCAAGTACATGATTACTTTTTTGGTGTTTTCAGTCTTACCAGCACCAGACTCGCCACTATTGTACGAAATAGAACATCAAGCTTTATATAACCTTAAGTAAATAGTAAAGACTACTTAAAGCATAGCAATACATTCCTGCTTGTTTCTTCGTATTCCTCGCGATTACTTTACGAAAATAAGAACATTTTTCAATCAAGTTATATAGCAACTACTTTTCGTTAATGGTCTCGTGTAGAAACCAGCAGGAATGTACCGGCATTAGTGCCATAAAACTTACTTTATGCAAGTTTTACGTTGCAAATATGCAATAAAACACGTTCACACAAGATAAAAGAGGCAACCCTCAGTGCCTACTAAGCATCAGTCTATATACAATAATGTATAGTGATTTATTAGACGAGCTATGTCTGATGTGAACGTGTCTTGTTGTATCAAGCAGTATTTTCTATATCTACAAGCATCTTTGGATTTAAGCATCCACCAAGACACTTACTCTCGTGGTCGCGGTCGCGACAGGCTCCTCTTTCTGTTTTTTAAGATTGGCTGCTACTATTGCAAAGTACTTTATCACCTTCTTGGTGCTTTCTGTTTTACCCGCACCAGATTCTCCGCTAGGTAAATGTTGGGTAAAAAGAAAATATATGCATGTGAACACTGTAGAGAAATATTACCTCCCCTTTTGTATCCTTAATCCTTATCACTGCATTCAGTATGGTAGTAGTGTGTGTGTATAAAGACATATCTACAATCTATATGACGAGATGTTTCGAAATGAACTACAACTTGGTTTCGTGTAAACTATATTTTAGTATATTAGACGATCACCTACTTTCATGTTGTTTAGATGTGACTTTTATTTACCGTATTTCACTATAAGACGGTACGCGTACTCAAGTGCTGAGGATTGTGAAGACCAAGGGTAGATAACTCTCATACACCCAAATCCGCTGCAACTTTAAAGTTCTGGGTAATTTTTATCAAATAAGTAAGAATCTTTGAAAACATGTCATTTTAACTTTTACCCCCCCCCCCCCCTCCAAAAAAGGGTTTTCATTCTTATTTATAAACAGTTCCCGAAAGTGTTTGGTGTTAATTTATAAATGTTGATTCCTTAACACTTATTACATTAATAAAGCTAAAAAACTCACGTGATCAAACAGGACTGGTTTTCACGATCTGTAAATAACGAAGCAATATATATATATACCCCTGTTATCAAACTATAAAGGAGTGGTCTTTACATAGATAATATATTACATATGTATATTTATTCTTTAACTATCGTACATTTTTACTGAGCTATAAAGTCGCATTTCTTGTCATCAGTTTAAAGGATTCCTTTCTTTTACATAAAAAACATTGTATGAGCACAACATAACTAATTATATAAGCTGACTGTATGAAATTAGACATTTTTATCATTTAATATTGATCATAATTTGATTGTACGTGTACTATGATGTACATGTCAGTGGTTGTAGGATGCGTACCTGTTACCATGTTCTGGTAGGCATTGTCAGCAACAGAGAACAGATGGGGAGGGATCTCAGTCTTCCTCTTTCCTCTGTACTTAGAGATGACGCTGTCAGTGTAGATGGGCAGACGTCTGTAGGGGTTGACCGCGATACAGAAAAGTCCAGAGTATGTCTGTATAATGGAACGCAACATCTCAATGGATATCCACACAATTCACATCTCATCAACATGATCAAATAACTATATGAGTGGCAATATCTTAGTCACCAGAGTGATTCATGGAAGTTGATAAACTTGATTTATAATTTTTGTAAATACATTAAATCTACTTTAATAAATGTTAATTACGTGTTCTTCGACAGAAATGACTACAAACAGTAAACAAATCAGCTTCATTTTAACTACATGGAAACAATAGCAACGAGACTTGTTCACATTACATAGCCAGATAATATAGCGTACATTCGGACGAGCTATTTTTATTCTACAAAGTAAACAGGTTAAACCGTGTATCAAAGATAAGATAGTTAATTAGTACATGAACTATTAAGTAACACTAATGAGTGATAAGGTGTAATTGTGTACAGTAGGGCCGAGAGCGATGACTTCAGACAGATTTCGCCAGCAATTCGGGCCGCCCACAATAACCAGTACTAATCCCATTACATCAGATAAGTGGGCATATTTATCTGTCTTTTTCAAAACAAATACAGCTTTAATCAACACAGGATTCAGCGAGTATGACTGATTGAGTATTAGTACATAAACATTATAATCAAACAGGACAGGGCTATTTGAGTTTGTTTTATTTGTTTTATTTATTCATTAATTGAAGTTCCAGTGATGGTATGGTCAAAGTCCAAAGTGACTAGAGTGGTTTTGAAATTATAGCAGAAAAAAAAATCTTTACTTTAGTTTTATAAAGATTAAAAGCATCAATGAGAATTCCAGAAAGTATCCCAAGATAAGTAAACGACTGGTTATCAGATAGCAGGCCATGGCTGTTCGCAGGGGCTGACACGGCATGCTAGCTGACGGAAAACATTTCGACTGGAACCTATCGGTTGTCTATATACAAGATGGGTATAAGATAGAGATGGGAAGTATATGTACATACCAATAAGGCATCGCTGACGTCAGCGAGTCATGTTACAGCGCCTGTATTTATTTTTAGACTCCACGGGATACCCATATTTGGTTAGCAGTTTACGGGAAGTGGGGTTCCCCACGGGGTAATGAGAACAGGTATAATATGTGGGACACTACAGGAATTATGCGTGGGTTGCTTTAACTGCACAGCTGTATTTCTCGGATTGCTGTTCTATACTAAAATATACACTCATGTGACTCTTTACCGACATCGTATCCACGTTTGGTCTGCATGACCTTGAGATTGTTTTATCCTATCGAATTCCTGGGGGGCGACCTTGACATTGTACTACTAGTTTACTGATGTATCGAACGATTCAATAATTTCAATCGGACAGTTTATTCCTACGGTGCTCGTTGCTAGACTTACGTTGATATATCTTCAGTCTTTATAAGATCTGATCATATTCGTTTATTGGTCTGACTTGTACCTTTCTGGGATGTGTGCGTTACTTGGATATTTGCTTTATGGTTAGCAAGTGTGTGAAATAGTTGATAGTACTCACGTAGATCATACCACAGGTGTATCTGGCTCTCAAGTTGTGCAATACCGAGGCTTCGTTGAGGTAGGTCATGTTGGCCATATCCTCGAGTTTCTCGAACTTAGGTGGGTTCATTTGCTGAATGTCATCCTTCTTCACGGTCCTGGTCTGTTGACAAACAATTACAACTTTTAATAAATGTTCTAGTCTCATACAGAATCCATTTCATCACCTACTAAAATATATCACAACTGATGACATTTTAAGCCAATTAATAAAGCAAATGAAGGATACTCGACACATGACGTTTTTTTTGGAGAAAATGTATCTTCAGGAATTACCCATTTCACCAGTCATATTTATTTGTGAAGCTAGCTTTTTCATTCGAAATAATAATCAAAGATAGAATTAAATGTGCTTTACGTTCCGTTTGACATTGATTTCCTTTTACAAACATACAGATATAAGAGGTATATCAATATTTCTTAGACTTACTGATAATTGGAGGATAAAGTTAGTTTTTTGTAACTATGGTGGTGTTTACATATTGGAAAAAGGTGATTTTGTATTAATAATATTATTGTTAATTTATATGTATAGTTCTATGTGTATAATTGCAGATTTATATGCAAAACGAAGTGGTATAATATTTTTTCCTATACTAGTCATAACGATACACTACTATAATGACAATATCTCCATATTAATATTTCGTCGTAAATCAGCGCACAGCATATTGCATGTTATTTATAATGGCTATTTATATATATTGATACATAAAGTATTTTTTGTATATTGGTACAATGCTGTAAATTGATATATAATTGTATTTTTTTATTGGTATTAATTGGTATATTTAAAGGTAATACATACAGAATTGTCGGCAGTGATCTTCACTGTGATTTCTTCACCCTTTGAGGACTGGATTTCTGCGGCTGCGAATCCTTCCTTCGGATCGGGTACCCAGCAGTTCTTTTTGCCGTCAAATGGAGCCGTCTGCTCTTTCAACAATTTCTTACGATCTACCGCAAGATACTGGAAATCGGGATCACTGAAGTCGATGTTCATCTTGGATGGTTATATCGCAGGAGCAAGCTCTCTGCCTTTGAAATAAAAAGTATTCGAAATCGGAAGACGAAGTCAATCTCTGGAATGCCCTGCACAACGTCAACAACAGAACAGATCAACCCTTCAAACCCGGCCTGAAACATACAAAATTACACTGTTCAGTTTATCAGTATTTTTAGATGTTTGTAGTCATAGTACATATGTGATACTGATAACCACTTGGTCCGATTTTAGAAAACAACTTTTTCCCTCGTCTTGGTGAAAAATCTCCTCCTCTGTACTGTGACAAAGCTGCTTATAATACATGGAGAAATTCAGTGTATATATATATATAGAATTGTCAAACATTTATCCCTTTAAGATATAAACGGAGCATGAATTTTATTTAATCAGTGTGCGCATTAGCTGGCCTTTGAAGGATCATTTGACATGACTATGTTAATGAGCAGTGAAATTGCTTTAACTATCGAATGTTATCAAGTTACAAGCTTCCCCTCCAAGAATGTATACATTTCAGCGATATTCAAAAATAGCATACAACAGTGCAACATATCTACATCGAACAAGAAATCAGAAATGAAAGCAAGTGTACTTTCTCAACAAATGTAAAAGAACACTATATAAACAAAGAGTCGTACATGCAAACAAAAGTCTGAATAAGACATGCAATAGTAGAAACACTATCCGGCTTGTATCACGGGGCCCCGCCCCCTCCGGCTATGGGACCGGCTGCTGTAACAAGCTTCATAGCATACCTGTGATAATAAGAGCACACATGGTGTAGGGTGAGGGAAAGGAATAAGGGATTCCAAAATGTTAAAATCCAAGTGAAATAAATCCAAGATAAATTCACAAAGGGTAAAGTTCCTTTACATGGAATCACATCAGAGGAAGTTCCGAGTAGACAGTGTTCCAGGCTGTACAGACAGCACACACAGAATTGTATTAACTAAATTCGTCCACTGGATTAGCTCCAATAGATTATTAGGTAGCTCACACATTTCAGAACACAGGTATAAGCATGCAAATATCCGGCGAAGACAGTTGACCAGGTATAAAGATCCTCAGGTATGACAAAAGTTGGGTGAAGGATTGAAAATAATCCGGCTAAATAATTCCAATCTGGTACGTCGAAAAAGATATTAAAAAAATGAAGGGTTAAAGAGAAAGGAAATCAAACACACGCTTGGAAAATCTATAGAAAACTACAAGGCATAAAAACGACTTACTCTAATACTCAGTAAATACTATAGGATATTAGGTAGTGGGTATAATAGTAAATAGAGGGTTAGGCACTGCAAGTTCTATGCTAGGTCCACACATACTTACGGTTAAAAGCTGTCTGATGCTTCGATGAAGGCTCCCTGCCGATTTATATAGTTTCTAGCTCCACAGATCGTATGGGCTGTATCAGATGTACCAAGTGTTCTGATTGAACGAAAAAGTTGCTGATGTTGTTTTTCAGCCAATCAGCATTATCGTTACATGAATGACAGATGAGAAGAAGAGGATGCTACATAAGGAATCCGCGGTGAGATAGAGAGGCATCTGGTATAACATGAGATGCATACGGTTTACACAACGTAACATACTGTTCTAATTACTAGTAGACTTCCCAGTGTGTGAAACAAGGGGGTGTTCGCATACTGCCCAATCTTGCTGACGGTGTTGCATTTCATCTACATGGTATTGCTACTTCGATTTATTGATTATTTGGGATCGGGTTATATTTTTGAAATACCATGAATTTATGTCTTTCTTAAAACCAACTTTACGGTCGAAATAAAACAATTTCTTTCAACACTACAATCATATTTAACAGTAGGATGAACTTATGTCAGTCATAAAGATCAGACAACCAACCGAAGCACATGTGTCTCCTATAATACCAAAATTGCTTTGCAGAAAACCTTGAAATTGTTTCATCTTAATTGCACTCGTAATAGTTTGATCTTCAACATGTCAGCCTCTCTTAACATTATCTGACACGTTGTACAGCCATGTAGGTTCAATGGACGCCTGGCAATTTGTTTAACATACACATCTTACAGTTTTCAGATTTTATTTTCACTCAGACTCACGTTAGTGTGTAACAAGAGGTCACATGTGTACAACAAACATGACCTCGACGGAATACAATCATAGCAATGTGTGAGAAGAATATTTAGATTATTGAAGTATTAATAAACTGTTCTCGTGTTTAAGTAAGAATTAAGAATCCTATTCTTAAATGTGAGATAAACTTTCATCTTTGTGATTTATGGATACTTAAAATGTTAATTTGGAAAAGAGGAAAGCGATGTTAAAAATTCTCACGTACAGGTGTGTGTGTGTGTATGTTTGTTTTTGTTTTTGTTTTTGCTCCTTTTTGGTGGGGGTCGGGGATAAGAAACCCTCAGACCTCCGAGTTACACTTATCGATTCCATAAATAAAAGGTAAATAAACATCGCCTCTTACAGATGTGCAATTATATTCCAATAATATATTTCATACTTCGTTGCAGATGGCGTTCATGTTTGTAAATACTGATTTATACGCTTGTGTGTTAGGATTATTGTATAGACGTACACATGTGCCGATTTCATTGAATGTGAATGATCAGATTACAGCCGTTTATTTATAGTACTTTTATTGCACTTTCGAAATAATCCCTTATCGTATTTCCTGTACTATACCACAGGGTAGGACAGTTAATGTTTAATACTCCATAGTAAGACTTTTGAGTAAACATGCTCCTTGTGGAATATTGTTCATTTGTGGTTTTGTATGGTTATTGAATTATATGAGTTAAATTTTGATAAAGGTAGCCGAGTTTGGTGTTATTTACTCGCGGCCGTATAAAACCCGGCTCGCCTCCCATGGTGTCGATAGTACTAAGATAGGTGGGTAGAGAACGTTGTTTTTCTGAAAGAACACGCGCATGTTTTGGGTTGATGCCGGTGTCCCTGGCAACCGTACCATTGCCTGGTGCCTGTCTATATTAGGTGTGATAGGGGGAGGGTAACAAACAGCAGCTGTAGCACGCGCGTCTCCCCCGTCCACTCTATATCTCGCACACTATATATACACGGCCGATAGCATCAGAACTGTCGGTTTGGTAGAATAAAAACCAATAGCATACAGGTCTATAGACCTATAGCTACATGACTGAAACGCTATAAATATTTTGTTGTAATTTAAGTCGCCCTATCTACAATGTTCTACTATATCTGTGCTTTGTCTGTGTTGTTTCAATATGGATAATTAAGCATGTCAATAATTATGAAGCACGGGTGCGTATAAATATATCGGACTTTAGCAAGGCCACCAAAATCTCGGACTGCTTTTTTTTTTATTGGGATGGGTGAGGTTCGATTAAAACGGAGCACTATGATATATGTTCAGGCGTGAATCGAACCAGCACAAAATGAAAATAACCCATCAGGTAAAAGGAGGTAATTTAATCAAACTAAACAATTTTAAACATATAGTTCTGTGTGCTTTTTAGGTACCACTAATGTTACATCTTTGACAAATTCTTATTAAATGTCATCGTCTGTTAACCTCGGATGACATGTTACGACTCCTGTTGTATGATGAGTCCCGCTCGAGTCAGTTACATGTCAACGTGAATAGTGCTGATTTATGTTTACTATAACCATTCAATTATCTATAAGGTCGATGGACATGGGCTCTAAACGTAATGAGCTTCGATTTCGGACACCGATAAATCAGTTTATTGTAGGCCTATTGACTAAAATACGATATGATAATGCACAAGTTATCTCAACTTATCGATGACTTTTCCCGTCAACATATTATAAATAAATCTGATTAAAATCATGTTACATGGCTCCGTAGTACGAAGTTAACGAAGCCATGCAAGATATGATTTTAATCAGATTGATTATAAATAGGCCTACGTACATGACAACTTATGATACGTAAGAAAACGATATGTTCAGTGTGTGGTTTGCACGAAAGGTGGGTGTTGAGAGGGGGCTAATTCAAAATCTGCCCATCTGATACAAATGGAACTGTATCCTCCTCCCCCTAGAAAAAAATGGTACTAATTTCAAAATGATTTATGAGAAATAATGCTCACTGGTGAGATCAATTAACTAGTTCATATTTATAGCCGGATATGGCCTAAGAACGCTGGACTTGGTTCTAGATTAATTTTTGATATATATATTTATAACCGTGACATAAAAACATTGCAAGACAATCAGAAATTAAGGAAAGAAGTTTTATTTTACATGCTAGGCCTTACCAGAGACGTATATACTAATAATAATAATATTTATTCAGGTAAAAGGCAAATAATACACTTCTATCACATTTTGCAGATTGGACATAAATATATATATGTTATCACAGAATGAGATATTCTTAAATAAATTATTTATGCCATAAGATTAGAAGTCAGTCAGGTGTTAAGACTGGATTGGATTAGATTAATTTAGGCCTTTACCCGGGATGACCCATAAAGCCACATTGTGGCTTAATTCCAATGGGGTCCCTTAATATATACTATATACTGGCTTTATATGTCTCTAGCCTAACGTTAATTATAGGCCTATATAATTTTGTTTGGGCCATAAGTTACATTCATCCATAATCAGTTTCTGTGCAATATTCCGCTAAATTTGGCCGCTACTGCTTGTAAAACAAACATGATCACTTCAGATAGGATATGTGTCTCCGATACTGAACCTAAAATTCGGTTGTCTACAGAACATACCTGGAGTGTATTTTTTTCATTCGAATTATTCGGTCTTTTAATCCATCAACAATGTGAATCCGAAGTTTTCCAAAGAATTATTCAAGCATTCCCGCCAATAAAGTTTTGGAACTCTCCTTTTTAAGAATTAATTAAGTTTAATTGATGTGGAACGAAATTGGACTTTACGAATACGGAGCGTCGAATACGAGTTCGATGCATTTATTATTTCAAAACCATCAGAGTTGTTTTCGAATCGTTTTTGTCGACTACCATTGTTATTTCTGACTGGATCACCAGGCTCGAGATTCATGATCAGTGAAGGACATCACTGAATCAGTCGCGTGGTGGGTCGTTTGTAGGCCCGTAGGACACTTCCTGTCGCAGTGGTAGAACGCCAGTAAGGTTTTATTTACTGTACCGTCTTTGTGATTCATAATGAGCTGAGGTCATGCTGTTCGGATAGAAATGATCACGGGAGGGATCGCTACTCGCGATCGATGTCCAACTTTTGAACCCCACGACCAATGCTCAAATTTTGCGTCAACATTGTCCTTTTAATTTTGTGATGGGGTGCATTGTAGAATTTTGTCCTGTTTTTGAAGTTGAGTCATTGCTCACTGAAATAAAATCGTATTTATAAAGATAGAGACACGGTAGACCTACTAGTGTATTTGTAAAGTTGAATATAAATTTTGCGGAACTGGGCTGAGTAGATCTTCGGCGACCAAATAGCTCAATTGGTAGAGCATCCATCTAGAGTTTGGAGGGTCCCGGGTTCGAACTCCGGTCTGGTCGTGCATTTTTCCTTTCCTGTTACATTTGGCGCCTAGCGAAATATACCCACATAAATATAAGGTGGTATAGGGTCTCGTGTGTCTTCGGGGTCGAAGACTTTGTTAAAAGGAGGGAGGAATGTAGCGTAACTGGGCTGTGTCGATTTTCGGCGACCAGATAGCTCAATTGGTAGAGCATCCGTCTAGAGTCCAGAGGGTCTCGGGTTCGAACCCCAGTCTGGCCGTTCATTTTTCCTCTCCTGTTACATAAACAACAGAAGTTGTGTCACTATTTAATAGTCTTTAAGTGTAAACTCATTTACTCTCATCACTTGTTAAGGGAGGATGGCACCAAAGTCTGTTTAGGCAAGGAAGGGGAAGTTGTCCTACTTCAATTATTTTTACAGCAGCCTGTTCCTACATGATTTTGAAAAAATATAGATAGTATTTTTTATTGAAATTTGGAAGATATTCCTCATTTTTCTTTCATTTTGGGAAAATCAGACTTTTTTTGCAAGGGGATGCAGGCTGTATTCGGTTTTATTACATACTTACTAATGAATACGTTTTTTTGTGTATATATGCGATACGACACAATTGCTGTTACCCATATCAGCCCTTATCGTATCACACCCCAAAAGCCGTATCAGCCCCCGCTGTATCAAACCCCAAAACCTGTACCCGTATCACACCCCTTTTGGAAATTTTTCCTTTTTCAATATTTCAAAAGAAAAATAGATCATAAGATAGTAGCTTTTATTATAATAATAAGTATGTAATAAACAGAATAAAACATGCCTTTCTCCATATCACACCCAGTATCAACCCTCGACTAATATCAGCACCTCAGCCTGTCAGGTTTGACTTCTGGTTTCACAAAAGTTGACTTGTTTCAGACCTTTGACCCTCAGAAACATATTATAGACATGCTGCCCTTCTTGGGTTGCCCTCAGTAAAGAGATTGGTTGTTCATAACCACCATTTCCTGTTAATTTGCAGTTTTTAGTTAAAAAAGGAAAATGCAATATAGGATATCTTAGGCTTTTAGACATTGAAAGACTTTAACACTCCCTGACTTGATATTCATTAAGAATAATAAATATCCTGTTCACGCCATTCTGACTCTGTATTGGTGACATCATAATCATAACTTTGGAGATCTTTGACTAATGCCTGTGTTGTACATTAATTTATTTCAAATTTCATTAACAGATGCAACATTTTTCATTAGATTTTAATGTAAAATATAAAATGTAAAAATGAACTGCAATCTTTTCAGACTATGATTTGTAAAGCCAAACAGAATCGCAGATAGATGCAAGTGTAACTGTACTGCTATATCATACAATTTTTCAGCAATCTTCGTTCAGAAATATTGGTTTACAATTCTCGAACAAGGACAGAGCAATGGTTAAAATAACAAATGAACACTGATTCTTGGTTAGATGTGATTTGGTGTGCAAACAAGGGATCATGTGAACTTTCCCTTCAAATTCTGCTTCTGTTACATTATTTAAGTTAATTGAATGAAATGAAGCATTTGTGCAGCAGTTGAATTTAAACAATTTTAATGTTTGAAAATTATGAATTCTATTTCAATAAGATGTAAGACAAAAGGATTTGAAAATAGCAAATTCCTTATAGAAAATTTCACTTTGTATTTGTTTAGTTTCATGATGTCGTTGATGTCTGTGGAGGGCCATTCAGACCACACTCAGTCCTGGATATTTCCGGTGCCATCAGAGGCAATGCCAACCTGTGTGGCCTGCTTGGTGTCTATTCTGGAAGCCCCTGACCTGATACCAGTACAGAAGAAACCTGCTTTAGCTTCCCTTGCCAATCTGGTTCAGCAGTCATCAGAGGCTGTCACCTGTCTTCAGGGCAACATTGCAATCACCTCTCACTGTCTTCTTACTCTGATGGGTACCACCTTGTTTTATATAATACACAGCATTTGATATTCCGTCTTTGCGTATTGCAGAGTTATCTTCTCTTGGGAGCAGGTATTGGTTGCTACGTCATTGGTTTGTGTGAGAAAATTACGTCATTTTCTCAAAAATTGATGATATTACTCTCACAAACAAATGATGCAACAATCCATACCTGCTCCCAAGAGAAGATAACTCTACGCAAAGACGAAATAGCACCCTGTCTAGCTAACATAAGCCACTATAAAGCGCTTAACAGTGCATAGATATACAATTAAAACAATTAGCATATATACATTAATCAATATAATTTTGAGGAATTTGCAGGAGCTGCCTTATCAGGCACTTACTACTAGTCCTATGCCATCTGGCTAAAATCTCCCTTTGTGTTTATGCCTGCGTGTGTGCTGGAGATGTAATGTAATATAGAAAATTTAACATCATTAATAAAATACCTTCTTAAGCAGTAGCCATTAATAGTTTATTATCATTAACTTGACTATTCAAAGAAAAGGGTCACTTAAGTAGTCACCCAGGTGTCAGCATTGATGTAGGCCAGGTTAAAGCTTTGGCATAAGTATTAACAGTCATTGATTTAATCTTACCTGTACTAGGCACCCTATAGTTGACATGCAGGTTTCTGAGGTGTCCAACAATGATGCAGTGCAGTAAAAAATGACTTGATTTCTCATATAAAAAAGCCTATGCTGTTCTCCAATAGATTATATATAAGCATCTAAGAGTAAAAATATTTCAAAAATTGCCTTTCTACCTATTTTTTTTATATGAAAAGATATTCAAAGTTGAAATATTTCAAAAATTGCCTTTCTACCTATTTTTTTCTTTATGAAAAGATATTCAAAGTTGATCCTATCTAACGAGTTCTTACTTCGAGATATTCATTTGACAAAAAGTGGATAACAATAAATGGATCAATTCATCATCTATTTTTTGTAGAGCTCTTGAAGTTGGATGATCCTGTGTTTGTTGCCCAGGTGCTAGATGGTAAGTGAACATCGATATTCAAATACCTTGTATTGCCTATAAATTTTCCTCTTATCTCTGTTACATTTATATATTCCCATGTAAAATAATACTGCAAAAGTGTTTTGTTGCATTGTATCACTGTTAACTATGTCTGCATCTACACAGTTATAACTGCATATAAACTGACATTAGATAAAGAGGATTATCATTCTTACATCTTTGGTAGTCTTGAATGTACTGCATTGTCCTGTCTTCATTAACTCTGACATAAGTTGTATCTGTGATGTCATGTCTACTGTTCTCTGACATTTGTGATTCTACAATATCATGCTTTCATGACCTCTGACATTGGTTGTATCTGTGACGAAACGTCTACTATTCTCTTACATTTGTGATTCTACAATTTCATGCTTTCATGACCTCTGACATTGGTTGTATCTGTGACGAAACGTCTACTATTCTCTTACATTTGTGATTCTACCATTTCATGCTTTCATGACATCTGACATTAGTTATATCTGTGAAGTCAAGTCTACTGTACTCTTGACATTTGTGATTCTACAATTTCATGCTTTCATGACCTCTGACATTAGTTGTATCTGTGACGTCATGTCTACTGTACTCTGACGTATGTGAATCTACAATGTCATGCTTTTATGGCCTCTGACATTAGTTGTATCTGTGATGTCATGTCTACTCTACTCTGCCATTTGTGAATCTACAATGTCATGCTTTCATGACCTCTGCCATTAGTTGTATCTGTGATGTCATGTCTATATGTACATGTACTCCTAAATTGCATGTACATCATATCATGTATCTTATGTTGTCCTTACTACGTATGGTCTAACATTGGTTTGTATATATTATGTCATGCCTTTTATTTAAAGTTTGTGTGAAGGTCGTTGGAAAGGTTAAATCAGAAGAACTTGTGAGATTGGTGTTGGATATAATTCAGACTGAGGTAAGTTTTAACTGTCTGATGACCAAATTTAGTTGGCAGGTATTTCATTCCATAAATTTCACAAATGACAGGTACCTGGTAAGCATTATCCATGTTAGGTGATGTCCATGGATATTTCTTCATGGATAACCTCTATACACAGGTGTAAGTTTTTTGTGCATCATCCTTTTTGGTGACGTCTATATTAATATTTAATAAAAAATATATATGTAATGTGAGTAAGAAATGTCCTTAAAAATTGAACTTACTATAAATACATAGTCTTCAGACATGCATTATCATTGACAGGTAACCTCCAACAAAGACTGTAAAGCCCTCTGTCCTCTGTACCTGCTGCTGGGGCGACTCGTCCATAACTTTTCATCCTTGGCTGTGATGATGGGGCAGGAGTTTGGTAAGTTTTCATTTTTAATACGTAAGCATTAGTGGAAGAAGAAATCAACTATAGAACAACATAACTAGTTGTGTGATGTGAAGTGAAAACTCCCACCTTTTAACTCATTTACAGAACTTTCTTAAGATCTTCTGTTTTAGTGTCACCTGCAACGGGAGGCGACATATAGGTATTACTGCGTCGGCGTTGATTGAGGTGTCCGAAACAAGGTTTCTGCGCGATAACTTGAGTTCCCTAGGGTTGATTGAACTCAAACTTAGTAAAAAATATTGCATAACAATATAGCTCTGATTAGGTCGCATTTCAGAAGTTAACAAGCATTTTTTGTGGAGTTATGCCCCGTTTATTGTCAAATAAGGGCATTGTGTAGTAAATGCCAGGACTTTTGAATTTTTTAATCAATTCCTTTCATATTTTGTATGGTAATGCTAGAAGCAACAATGTTCAACATATATTGCGGGGTTTTCTGTCGAGTTCCAGCTTTCCTTGTTTTGCCATATCACACTTGACAGAGCAACGCTGTTCATCGTTTTTGCCGTTAGTTTTTGCTTGTTTACGCGATAACTCAAGTCAAAACACTTTTCTCACTAAAAGCGCTGAGCAGCGACACATCTTCCCCTGTGGAATTCTTAGTTTTAAAGGTGTTCATATGAAAAAGGATGAGATCTTACTGGTCATTTTACAAGGTAAAGTCGAGCATGTCCTTGTACAAGGTAAGGTCTAAAAAGTCCTTGTACAAGAATAAATAGGTCTAGAAGGTTCTTGAAAAAGAATTGATAGGTCCCTGTGTAAGATTAAATAGGTCTAGAAGGTCCATGTGTAAGACTTAATAGGTCTAGAAGGTCCATGTGTAAGATTTAATAGGTCTAGAAGGTCCATGTGTAAGATTTTATAGGTCTAGAAGGCCCATGTGTAAGACTTAATAGGGCTAGAAGGTCCATGTGTAAGACTTAAGAGGTGTAGAAGGTCCATGTGTAAGATTAAATAGGTCTAGAAGGCCCATGTGTAAGACTTAATAGGGCTAGAAGGTCCATGTGTAAGACTTAATAGGGCTAGAAGGTCCATGTGTAAGACTTAATAGGGCTAGAAGGTCCATGTGTAAGATTTTATAGGTCTAGAAGGCCCATGTGTAAGACTTAATAAGTCTAGAAGGTCCATGTGTAAGATTTAATAGGTCTAGAAGGTCCATGTGCAAGATTTAATAGGTCTAGAAGGTCCATTTGTAAGATTTAATAGGTCTAGAAGGTCCATTTGCAATATTTAATAGGTCTAGAAGGTCCATGTATAAGATTTAATAGGTCTAGAAGGTCCATGTGTAAGATTAAATAGGTCTAGAAGGTCCATGTGTAAGACTTTATAGGTCTAGAAGGTTCATGTGTAAGATTTAATAGGTCTAGAAGGTCCATGTGTAAGATTAAATAGGTCTAGAAGGTCAATGTGTAAGACTTTATAGGTCTAGAAGGTTCATGTGTAAGATTTAATAGGTCTAGAAGGTCCATGTGTAAGATTTAATAGGTGTAGAAGGTCCATGTGTAATATTTTATAGGTCTAGAAGATAATGTTTAGAAGGTCCTTGTTCAAAGTTCAGTCATGTGTTTTTACAGGACTGTATTTCTAGATTTTTATACAAAGTTCAGTATGTTTATGATATTATACAAACTTGAACCGTTGCAATTATTTCACAGGATGAGGTCTCAAAATTCATTGTGCATATACTAGGTATGTTAAAAGTAAGATAAAAATATGAAATATTGGTATCATTGTATGTACAATGATAAATCTGTGAAATCATGGTGTAACATTTTATATCATATCATTGTTATTACTTTGTTTCTGTTAAATCTGCAATTGTTACACAGTCTTCAATAGCTTTGATCACAGAAAAGAAATGTTGACATGGTTGATCAGATGCATTACTTGTAATTCAAGCCCTTTGTTACTCAAACATTTGGTTGATGTGAGCAATATACTTAACACAGTTCATTGCAAGCTTTAAGTCATTTCTGTTCCTGGTTTTTCCAAATTTCAGATTCAATGGTTTTGTATTTCACACTGTGAAATGAACAAGTCTATTTTCTAAAGTAAGTTGTTTTCCATTTGAAACATGGCAAACAAATACCCCAAAATCTAACAGAATGTCTACTAATTTATGCAGGTTTTCAGATTATGCAGGTTTTCATTCGGACAGCTTCCACTATTTTATACTTCAAACCGAATGTTATATACACTTGGCTTCTCTGTAGTGTCGAGGCTTATCGCTATCGGTTAAATGTGCACATTTGTTGTTGGGGCATAACATATTTCACATTTCCCATGTAAAGTGTGTCTACATGTACTTTGCATGTTTATCTGCAGGAGCCAGAGGTGTTGATGTAAACTCAAGCTGCCCTGTGTAATTTACTTCTGACTCTGTAGCCACTCTACATATAATGGTACCTAATGGAGAATTTACAGGGAATGGTGCCAGAATTGTTCTGTTTTACAACTTTTACTGTGTTGCCTGTGAAGCAAGGGCAATATATAACATGGTTCGCACAGGTCTTGAAAAACCCTTGAATTTGATGTCTGTCTTGAAAAACCCTTGAAAATGACTGTAAGCCTTGAAAACCCCTTAAAAATCAAAGAAGTTAGTTGGGTATCCGTTTCTGTCATGTTAATTCAGTATTTTGTTAACATTCGTCGCAAACAATAATTATTTTTAACACGGATTGATCGTCAAATTGCAGGTCGTAATTTTTAATAATTCCGGAAAATATATACCGATGAAGTTTCCGGTTTTACTTTTTCAATTTGTATCATCACTGCGTTTGAATTGAGTCAGTCTCGTAGTCTAAGCGCCAAAATGACAGACGGTCATGCGCATTAAGAGTACTGTTAACAGGAGGGGAACACGAACGCAACAACTGCGATGAGGAAGTGTGTTTTTAACCGCAAATGGCTAGACGATCCCAGAGTTTTTTTGGGTGAGGGAGCGCTAGTTCAAGGGTGATAGGACTTCTTCTTTGTGCTCGCTGTGTAACAAAATTATCGATCTGAGCATGATTAAGGAATACGCCCTTACATCACATGAAAAGTCATACATGTGAATTTTTTTTCGGGAACCGCTTCGACTCGGCCTTTGACACTTGTATACCAAACCCTCTACTTCAACAGCAAGTACATCGAGACCTACCTCGACTGTTCCTAATCCAAATCCGAACACGGATGCCGATGACTTTCCTTCAATCCTAGCCCCTCATGGCCTTGCTTTTCATTAAAATTGTTTGTTTATTTTGCAATATAAATGAGCCCTTGAATTTCAAAATTTGTCTTAAAAAAACCCTTGAAAAGTCCTTAAATTTTGAGGTCAAAAGTTTGTATGAACCATGTATAATGGGATCACCTTGTCAATATCATCTTTGTCAGCATCAGTATTAATTGTTGAAGGAATGCTTTGGTGAAACTTTCTGTCAATACTTATAACATCAATAATCTGCTAAAGTCCAATTTTGAGATGAATCTGCATGAAACTCAGTACATTTGTATTAATACAGTTGCCATCTTGAATTCTTGCATCTAAAGGTTTTTGTAGAGCAATTCTTATTCTTAAAGAAATGCTTCAATTTCATTAATCTTCCTGCAAATACTTACGAAAAATGATTCCCCATTCAACTTTGATTTTGAATTACATTGAAAATGTGATATTGTTCAGGTGTTGTCATCAGCCTTTCTTGCCAACCTGATGGACAGAGGGCCAATAAATATGCCCAGGGGTGCACAATTCCATGTTTAGAACACTAGCCCACAGATTGATTTTGTGAAGTTCTAATAGTCTGATCTATAATTTCATATATTCAATATTGAACATTTTTCACTTGCCCCAATGTAAAATAACTTGAAATAACTGATTAATGGCTTTTAAATTCTATTAATTAACACTCTATAATAACACTTCAAATATATGTCCTCACTGTTCCTGGTGGATTTTTGGTCATTGTTGTCATGACCAAAGCTTCACTACAAAGACTCACAGCACTGTATCTAGTTATTGAGGATACGTCTGATGTTGTTTTCTATATGGTAGGGTTTCGTTAAGTGTCCTTTGAATGGCATATATTCTATTATTATTTTTCATATTATTCCCGATAAGTGATTGGCCAGGAGTGCATCACGTGTCCACCGATAAAAACCGATATTGACTTGGAGCGAGTGTTTCTAAAAATAGATTATGACGTGTCTCCAAACAATGCACTGTCCCACTTCAGAAGCTTTTTTGTAGTGTTTTTTTTGAGATTGCTTACATTACTGTTTTGTAAAATAATAAAACAATTGTAGCCTTTAACTTCGGTCAATACCTGGATTGATCGACCCGAGAAAAGATATGTTAACCTCGGACTGAATAATAATATATCTTTTCTCGGGTCAATAAATCCAGGTATCGGCCTCAGCCAAAGGCTATAATTGAATAATATTGGTTCAGCTTATCACATATATACTGGCCTAGTTAGTCATGTATTGCCTCAGTTGGTCATTATTGTTTTGCAGTGATATTGGTGGGGCATTCAGTTTTCTATATTATTACAGTATTCTAAAATAAAAATTTACAATGTGGAGGGGTGAAATCTTAGTTAAGAAAACTGATGGGTTAAAAATCATTCATACCAGATATTCAATTTCAACATGCTTATTGATAATTATTTCTAAGCAACATACCCTTTTTCCATGTATGATAATTTTGTCCGTTTTTTGTGTTTTTCTGTTGCAAATAACTTTTCATTTAAAATGTATGTGTTGAGTGTTCTGTTATTAACTACTTTTCTGATATTGTGATTTATTTCCAATGCCAGTAATAATTCATTGAATATGTATTTACATACCATTGTGTAAATGCACGGTCATTTTGAAGTTTTAAAACCAACATACATTTCAAAATGAGATCATTGTATCGGTCAGACTACACAATGATTTCTACTACCATACACTGACACCATTTCAGATCAGCTTTAATTATGTCTTTCTTG